AAATGTCAAAACTATGCCGTACAAAAGTGATGGTGCCGGAAGTCGGTGCAAATTTTTAATTCGACGACATTGCAGGAGCAAATAGGTCATTTATTACTGTAGGCATTTTGTCATTCCTTTTGGACACTATACAGATACTTTACCCGTAAACGCCGTACATATTCCCAGGAGCGGTCGAAAGCCAAGGGTCCAAATATGTCTGTGCTATAGGTGATGATATTATAAAATAAATGATCTTGAGAGTACTTCACATTACATTTTCCATGCCGTAATTTTGGAAATAGGTTGCAATACTTTTTCAAAGAGTATTTTCGTACTTTTATCTTACGGCAATAAACAGGTTATTATACTAGACAATCTTCAATAAAAGATAAATGCCTACACTTCGATAGTCCCTACCGCTACCAAACAGGGCGTCCCAAAGTATGGGAAATGAAGGAAAGTACCTTAAATATCTAGATAGGGTATTTTACTAAAAGAAGACTTCATGTTATTTTTAAAAGTTATTAATTCTGCATTCAAAGATTTTTTTAAAATTACTTGCCTCGTCTGGGAATCGAACTGACTTAAATGTAAAAAAACCCTACTTTTATGATGCCAATCGAAAGAATGGCCAAAAATATAACTCTTCTTAAGTAACATAGTATTTTAAAAGAAAGGAAAGGTGAATATATCTTTTTAATCAAATTAAAAATTATCTATCTATTCGGCCTAAAAACCTCGAGTCTGTTACTTTAAAAAAGTTATTAGGTTTTGGCCATTCTTTCGATTGGCATCATAAAAAGGGGGTTTTTTTAATTTAAGCCGGTTCGATTTCCAGACGAGAGTAGTTTTAAAAAAATCTTTGAATGCAGAATTACTAACTTTTATAAATAACATAAAGTCTTCTTTTAGTAAAATACCCTATCCGATATTTAAGTACTTTCCCTTCATGTCTCATAACTTTGGGACCTGTATTATATATATTTTTGTTAAAAATATTTTTCCTTACCTCTCTCTGCGGTACGATAAGGCTGTAAATTACTTTACAGCCTTATGGTAGTATACTCAGATATGTACAGTTATTAATGACCTTAAGGGACACCTCAAACGTCGTCGAAGTTTTTATCAGCTGTAAAGAATAATCTGGAGTAAAATGTACGGCATCTGGTTTTTTGTTTATTTATATTTTATTAAAATAATAATCTTTGAAAATATTACTCCCCATATTATCAGAGATTTGAAAAGTCATCTAAATTTCGGAAATTTCATATATTTTTATCATAATATTTTTATTTGTTACCATTTATAATGAACGGCTATAATGTACAAGGTAATATTTAGTAACATTATGTAAAAAACAAGTTGCCGTACATTATTCTCTGATCTTACAGCAGTAAATACTTGGTAAATCCTGAAATTTCGAAAATATTTAATTACACAAATATTAACTATAATATTTGGACGGCATAATTATAAAAATTATTGTCCGTGTTAAATAATATTTTGAACATGTTGCCGTACATTTTACAATGACCTTAGGGTATGGGTGTAGGGGTAGGGTTCCGACCCTTGGCTTTCGACCGCTCCGCTGGAAATATGTACGGCGTTTACGGGTAAAGTATCTGTATATGTGTCCAAAAGGAATGAACAAATCCGTACATAATAAATACCTATATTGCTCCTCAACGTCGTCAATTAAAAATTTGCACCACTTCCGCACCATACTTTTGTACGGCACTAGGTTTTTCGACATTTATTTTTAATATCTTACACTTTAACAAACCGTACATTAATAATTAGTCGAAATTCCCCATGTACATAGAAAGTCCATTCACTCACGTACTCAATGTACCGCTCAGAAATGACGGCATAGTGCCAAGCTATTTTCAGATATAGTAACAGCCTTCTAAGCGTAATTCACGTTGGGTCATTTCACAGGTATTTTTGTTCATGGGCTGTGGTCTAATCGCTCTTGAAATTTATCGAGTCAATTCCATTTTCTCAACGACTAAACAAGTTTGACAAAACTTTGTGAAAAGACCGAGAGTCTTTTTTTAAAAAAAAAATGGTATTCGATTTAAAAAAAAAGGAGTTTTCAATTAAAAAGATTTAAATATGACAGGAACAGTGGTATTATTCCATTCCCGATACTTTTAGTGCAGCCTATGTATTCCATGTGTCGTGGGCAGCTAGTCTCTTCCATTTGACATATCTAAAGATTTTAGGTACTTGACGTAAAAAGTTCTACATAACACAATTTTTTTTTATTTTTTTTTACATTTTAGGTACAGAAACAGAATACTGATCATAAATACATACAGTTATTACACACTAAACAACATTTGTAAACCTGAAGTCCAATTAGATCTGTACACAGCATTTTAGTGGAATCTTCAGTGCTGGTTTACTTAATATTAACAATTACATACAGTATATAATAAGTACATATATTAAATTTAGCGACAAAAAATTTAAGTTATTCAGGTTTAAAGTCATCATCACGAATAATCTTTTTAAACTCATAAATACTCTTGTGAAAAATATCAACATGAGAACACACAGAATTATAATTAAACTACTGTTGCACATTAAGACTACTCTCCATTTCAGCAAAGGACAGATGAAGATGTTGCGTAGGATTTTTAGTGAATATATAAAGTTTTGAATCGTTAGTGAAAGTTTTGTTTTTAAGGAAGTGGTTAAATATGAAAGGACTTCTGAAGAAGAAAATGCGTTGGGCGAAGAAGAAGAAGATTTGCGTTGTGTATGATGTTGTGTGGTCGGTGTTTGTTTAGTAAATAGTCGGTATATTGCCATTAAGTATAGTTGCCTAACTGTTAGAAATTTTGTATAAAAGGGTTGTCAAAGGATTTATTATAAATGCCTAGAACACGCAATAAGCGTGACAAAATATTCATTAAATAAATGGAGGTTACTAGAGCATATTTTATTCTGAGCTGGCCTGTGACGTGATCTGGTAACGACTTAAATATTTAATACGTTTACGATACGGTTTACGGTCGGTTTACACACGCACATATTGCAAACATATATTGCATATGTGCGTATGTGATTACATTTATAATTAACGGATATATATATATTTATATATATCCGTTAATTATAAAAGTAATCGATTTCATAGTTATTTAGTAAAGTAATTAGGTTCAACACTATTTAACTTAAGTAACATGTTCCGGTTTGTTTGGCAGTACTTTTCTTTATGTATCATTGAATGTGCGGAAATTTTATTATGCTGCATAAATTAAGCTAAGTAGTCTTGTTACGAGGATGGATTAAATGATTTTAAAATGAATTGACAGATTTTGAGGCAGCTAAGCTCTTTATATTTCAGAGCAACTCTAGTTACCTGGTACCATTTCAGGAAACCTGTTTTTAGGGTGTACGTAAACGTGTTAGAAATGTGCGATAAGGATAGGATACCGACTACATCTATCCAGATAAATTCTTAAATGACGTTCATAATTATTCCCTGGTTGGTTGGTGTATATTGATGAAAGCGAGCCGAATCGTGGCTAGTAAGTTTCTATTCAGTACGTACTTGTATGAAGCTTCAATTGTCGTTGCGCGCGAAATAAAGTATTATTAAATAATTTTTTAAATAAATTTAAAAGACACGTTTTTATATTTTACAGTGTTAAATAGTTATTTTGTTCATTATTTCAGTTCACTAAATTTAAAAACGGTACCGGGTTGAATACGAGATAAAGTGGGGGTTGCCAATACTTATCTCAATACAGTTATGCGCATTTTATTTTTGGTCTGTCATATTTGACTACAAAATCCCGTTAAGTAAAATTCACTTTCTAAACACAGTTGGGATGAATAATAATTGCAACTAAATTTAAAATAACATAACGAATTGGCGCCAAAATCATAATTGCGCTAGAGCAAAAAAAAAACAGATAAAGTAATTCTTGATAAAATATGCTATAGACACGACGCGTATATACTATTTTCGAAATTAGGGATATATTACGACTAATATTTATATTTATATATGACGTCCTTTGTACCCGGAAAATATCGATTGAAAAAAAAAAATGATTTCCCACGAAAACGCTTGATGACGTCATCTTAGGATTGACAAAGCTACTAAATACTAGGCTAAGGGTCTGTTTCACAATGTATGGATAAAGTACCAAATATGCTATAGACAACACATAAATTATTTGGAAGATAAATGTGCTTTCGACACTTCATCGGACTAATAACTTATTACGGACTTTATGTGACGAATAGCGACAGTATGAAAGCTGAAACCATAGTGTTTACCCTACCAATAAGTAATAAATAGCTAATTGGATATGTACAACTTATCCGTACATTGTGAAACAGACCTTAGATAGACAGAAACGCTTCTAAAACCACGGCACTTCATGACGTCTTTAAAGTCAGAAGTTTGCAAAGGGATAAATAAGTTATTTTTACTAAAAAACGACACGAGGATTACAATGACTAATAAAGACAAAGAAACTTCAGTTATTTGTATGAATCATTAACAAGACTATGTCAGAAAAAGTATACTATATAATTAGTTACTATTTTCACAGTAAATCTTTACATTAACGTGACATATTCGTTTACAATTTTGCATTAATGTATATGTATTTAATGAGTTTGTTAGGGTTTGTTTAAATATGTGTTAAAAATAAAGGTACTAAAATATAGATTTTTCACCTTAATTTTAACGTACCTTAATTTCAGAGAGAAAATTCAGTTGGCGTGTTAACTTTCACGTTTCGTTTTAGTTGAAATAGAAAAACGTACGATCTCAAAAATGACAATGCAGCTAGGCTTAGACTATTCAGATCTTTGTTACAATAACATAAAATCCAATATTTTTCTTAATGGAGCTGCTAATCCTTTTGTGAAGCTTATCGCGAACAAATAATTCAATAGGTCTATCATGGCTAGTGTAATAGGTATTTGTTGCAAGTACTGGCACGAGAAAAATCTTAATTTAAGATGAATTTCAGCCGATTAACTACTGCAACATGGCGAAGACTTGCATTCATGATAGCAGAGTGGTTTGCGCATCTTCCCCTGATGGATGTACTCGTCGAAGCTTTCTTGACCAATGCGACATGTATGAGTATAACTGCGATTATAATACACGTATGTTACCCTTTTCATTTAAAAATACGCAGACTGCATTAATTAATTTTTTTTCCATTAAAAAAAAAAATTAAAAAAAAAAATATTATACAAAATTAAATACTTAATTCATGAAAAAAAAACAGTTCATTGCAGGTAACCTTAACTGTCTACCTGTCACAAAGATTTAGCTTATTTAAGAGAATTCAACAGAATTTGCATAATTTTACCCAAATGTTTCGATATCTTTTTTAACTGGGCCTAAAATATCATAACTCTTTTTTGCTGTAATTTTTTGTATTTGTAAATATTCTATCCTACTTACTTATTTTCATCCTACTTAATTTGCCGCAGTTTTTAGAAACAATTATATACTTATCTTAATGACGGAGAAATTATGAACAGGAAATATGATTATTTTAATGCAATGATTATAATTGCGTCATTTTATTATTAGCTTTAACAATATTTATGGGTTTAGTATTTTAACATTAAACAATGTTGGTCTAGTGGCTTCAAATCGCGCTTTTGGTCGTAGGTTCGAACGCTGGCTTTGCACCAAAGGGGTTTCTTTGTTATTTTTTAGTTATATGTTAATTTCCGATCTTATACTGAATAACAATTATTATAATAAATTCAGTAAAAAGTTCTAGCGTCACTGTTTTTTTTTAATTTAATTTTTTTTTCTTTTAAATGTTATTTATACTAAATGTTATAGGTTAAACGCTTATCAATTTTCGATGATTGAGTCTATACCCTAAGGTTTTGGAGTAAAACTAGATATTGATATTTTAATGTTTTATTTCAGAGTACTTGATAAAAGCAACCAGCCAATGTACTACTGGGGTTCCGGATTATTCATGCTAACTTCAAATTTATAATTTCTTCCGAAATAAAAGAATTAAATCTCTTATCTGGTTTTGCTCCTCTATCTATATCGAGTGTTAGTAGTTTAGTCACAGATTCATTGGAGATAACGTCTATATATCACACTATTTTTCTCGATCATATAAAACTTTGCAGGTTATCAAGAAACATATTTATTATTCTGTTCACTTTTGGATTTTTCCACTAAGTATGTTACAACATCTGATAATTATAGTAAAGATACAAAGGAAATAAATTTTATTGAATTTAGTACGCATATTGATAATGAAAACGAAGTTAATTCCACGCTTAATAAAGATTCGACTCTAGAAGTTTATTTAACTACTAAAAATAATATCAATACAACAGTGACCAATTTGAAAAATAATACAAATGAGGTGAAACTTATCTGCTGTGACCGACCAAAGACTTGGGAAACAACATCTGATATAACCATTACTAGTCCTATCTACGATTTCTTTTATCCAGAAATTACCGGAGAAGAAACGTTTGTATCTTCGACGACACAAAAAATCCATAATAATCAATTTCTAACACCATGTAACAAAAGTAATGTAACAATAAATTTGAACAAGTCTGATAATATAACAACATCAGTTATTATGAGTTCCGTAGAGATACTGCCACCAAATAAAACAACAGCTTCACATTGTTCAATTAACTGCAACAGAAGGCCGATAACTTGGGAAACAACAACTCACAAATTAGGAACCTTGATTAGGTCAAAAAGTGATAGTAGAAGAGAAAAAGTAACCAAACCAGTTACCACCAGTATAACAGACATACTAACAATAAAAACTTCAAGACTTTCAACTTCTGAAGAAGAACCTATATATACACTAACATATCGCCCTAAGACGCTAACAGTTCCAATACACTCTTATATATTCCTTACAAGAAGAAAGACTACAAAGAGTTTAACACATAACTGTAAGAAAAAGTGTCAGAGACCAAGTACTTGGAGGACAACTCGAAGACCCATTACAGATGTTAAGAGATTTAGAAACTATAATAGGTACCATCTTGGTTCTAGGTTTTAATAATTTATTTGAATTAAATTTTTTAACTGTAGTCTATTATTTGCGTATTAGAAAAACATATATTATGGATACTAAATGTACATTGTAAAACCATACCAAATATAAAGTATATGCTAAAAATCAACATACATTTCAGAATTCACAGAATCTGAATGTACTGAAAATAAAGAAGAACTAGACCAACAAGCGAATGAAACGGATAATAGACACGACGAAAAAATCGAATATCTAGCTGGTTCATCTGAAGAAATAGTTAAATTAGATTTACACAAAGGAACAGAAAAGGATAGCAATAATATTTTCAACATGTTTAAAAGTAACTGTGGTAGACCTCTTACTTGGGCTACGACTAAAAAGGGAGAAACACGAGACTTCTTTAGAATATTAACGCAAAAAGAAAAATAATATAAATAACTATGATTGTACTTCTACAAATACCATAAAATAGAAATACAAAGGTGTATCGTTAGATTTTTCACTGTGTTATATCGTACTTATGACTATTTATATATAATTTACAACAAATTGGAACATAGTCTGTACTCCTGAACCACTCTCTTAGTATATCTATCTATCTATATGTAATAATGAATTGCTGTTAGTTTGTCTCGCAAAATGGCTGGACCGATTTAGCTAATTATAATTTTGAAATATTTGTTGATGTTCAGGGGAGATATCAACGGTGGGAAATATAAATAATAAGTAAAGAAAAATACTAAAAATGAGAATTGAATTTTCCAACAATAACTATAAAAACTATAAAAAACTAGCTAGGAAATTAATGTCTTTTCTATATAAAAATTGTGACTTGGTTTTCATATATTCCTTTAGAAATTTGTGTTACAAAGCTGAGATGTGTATGAGATGAGTATGAGATCAGATCTCTTTTAAAACTATGTATTAATTTATTATTATTATTACAATTTTGTAAATAAATTATACAAATATGTGTAGGTGATACGAAGTTCCCCGGGTTATATACTAATGAAATCAAAGACAGGTTTAAAAAAATAATGTAATCTCATTAACAAACCTAATTCTTCTAAGATAACAAATTATTTACTAAATTCATGTTTATACATCTTAAATGAAAATTATAGCCGTTTGAGGTAGTTACTTGACCAGCATAGGTTTATTGACATCAGTATTTAGGCAGTTCTTCTTTCTGAATGCGTTGATAAAGAAGTCGTCTGCAAATATTTTTTGGTTACCTTTATAATATGCCTCGATTTCGACCAAGGTCTTACTTTCCGTTTCTGGTAAAAAGAAGTAAAGATAGCACGTTCCAATTATACCGATTATTCCGTAGAAAAAGAAAGCACCACTGATGTGAAAGTTTGCTTCTAGATTGTAATTTGTTTTAGCTGCTACGAAAAATATTACGTAGCTAAGAGCAGCAGCTAGACCCGTGGCTAAACCACGGCCCCTGAAATAGATTAATTTGTATTAAACTAGGTACCTACATTGCCTCTTAATTATATTTTGTAATATTTAACCTTCTTTGAATTAATAATAGAAGTAGGATTGTGGATTGCATTCACAGGCTCGATTCAATACAACAGCTCAGATTTCAGCTACAGATCTAATATATTTAAAGCAAAACATAATAATTGCTTGACATTTTCTCGTTTTTTCAAGGGTTTCTTGCGCTTTTTTACAGCAATGACCATCCAAAACACAGTCGTAGAAGCAGAAGTCAAAGTAGGTTAGGCTTTAAAGAAAACACTTTTTACCGGATTGAAGTTATAAACAATTATTTTACATAATTAAAATGTTTTCCGACGTTTCGCGTGCTTTACAGCGTGCGTGGTCACCGTGACCACGTAACATAACTTCAATCCGGTAAAAAGTGTTTTCCCTAAATGTGTAAAAGTTATGTTAATAAAAGACAATACTAGGTTAGGCTTACCTGAATGGAAAGACTTCAGACAGTAGCACCCACGGTATTCCAAGGCTGCTGAACGATACCAGCATCATGAATAAAAATACCGGCAGAATCTCTCCTTGGTTCGGGAAAGTACTGGGTTCGTAGGAGAATAATTCCATAGGAAGGTTTGTGCGTGCGTACACACTTAAAGCTAAACTGCAAAAGGCAGTTGCCAGAAGTGAGAATAAAACTAACTTTCGCTTTCCAATAACTTTAACTATTACTGCAGATAAGATGTTCATTATTATGAACACTACGCCAACTGCAACCTGAAAATGATAATACAAATATAGAAAATTTATTATGTTTGTATGCATTTAAAGTTAAGTTACTGCACGCTAGTAGTGCGTTCCTCTATAGAATAATGAAATCTCTTTAATAGAGGGCAAACACTATTCTTTAGGTCTGTTTCATTGTTTATTTTTAAAGGATGGTTATAATTAATGTAATTAACTAATTAATTTTTTGCCGAGAATTGGAAGTTAGTAGTAGGCGTACTTTGCACGGAGAACGGAGGGATTTAACACTAGCGATCGAGTTCTAAGTGGTCCAAGATTAAGAAATATTGGTATAGAAATAATATTCTAGCATAACACTATTGAAACTAGCTAATGGTATGTAGTAATAATTAGTTCTTAATATTAAAAACAAAAAACGAAAACGAAGGATAAAATAGGTTATCTAATCTCGTTCCGTAATATTTGAATTACGAAACTTGAATCGATTCCATAATGACAAATTTTATGTAAAGAATAACAAAATTGAAACAAAAATCATTATAACATCATTGCTCAAACAAAAAGCGCAACAAAAATTATAGTGGCTATTAAAAAATGTCAAGCACTCACCACAATATTTTTCGGGTCATATTTCATACCAAGGGCTCTGCATACATTCACCATGTTAGGTTTTATAGGTGCCAAGCCACTAAGCGTATAGAAGAAGAAATACGCCATAACTAGAGCAAAAGGTCTCATAGTTTCTTTAACGAATAGTACGTTTCTGAATTTGTTTATGATTCTTTTGAATACATTGTGGGAATTGTGACAGCACGGTTCTACGTCTGACTTTCCTTCCCTTGTGCATACGACGCACTGTTGAATAAGGTCATTGTATTGTACAAGTTGATCGAATTCTTCTTTTACATCCTCTGGCTGTGCCCACCCTCTAAGACGGCACAGCGATCGCAACGCTTCTTTTTGGCGGCCCTTGGAAAGTAACCATATCGGTGTTTCTGGAACCTGAAAAAGCGGGTATAGGTTTTATTATTTATGTAATTCATAGAATTGACATTTACATTAAATATTAATAAATAGAATGTAACCAAAATAGAGTAGAGATGTAATAATACGAGAACAATTGAGACCAATGTAACATTTGCTATTGTTTTAAATAGATGTATTTGATTATACTGCATTGAAGCCCGCGCAGGCGATAGTTATAGTCGCAAAATATATAATAATATATTTTTAGTGTTTAATTTAAACAAACTTTACAATACAAAATACAGAATATTCAATTAATACAGAATTTCAGAACATTCAATAATGAACAGGAAACAAAAACAAAAAGTGTATTTAAAATGAAATGGAATTAGATAAACTCTGTTAATATTTGAGATTTATTCGCTGTATTTTTACAGATTTTCTTATCTAGAAGTCAGTATGTGGTTAAGCCAAATTTCCAAGATAATTATGAAGTTCGGTAACCTTCAAATCTACCTGCGCCAGTTCCATTCAAATCAAAAGTAACACCACAAACGTTTACCTAAAATTCTGTTTGAATAATAAATTTAAAATGATTCGTAAATTAAACCTTGAAATCTTTTTCCAGATAATTATATCATAAAACACAAAAACTATTTCGAAATAGATAATTATAGATATACCCTTTTGAGGGTCGACCAGTTTCGAAATACTGATCTATAAGATACTATATCTACTATGACCTTAGATAAACCAAGGTGTTTATTTTTGAAATATGCTCGTTTGGTTTTTTGAAGAAACGCCTAGGTATTAAAATTTAACTGATTTTCATTGAATACATCTGTTTTGTGATCAATAGTTTTTTTTAAATAGCCATGTAGGTGCCCAGCCATCTTTGCCTGACAGGCCGTCGCCTAATTGGGTATAAAGCATGCCGGTTTCCTCGTGATAAATGTTTTAATAAAATTTGAATTGAATTTGAGAGATTTATAAAATATGAAATTAAAAAATTAACATATTGTTAGTTTAGTATGAGAGCCCACGACCAAGTCTGAAACGGTCGTCATATGAAGTCGTCAAATTATATGATTCTGAACCCCACTAGGTGGTAAAAACGGCTAACAGCGTGGGATTTCTGCTGTGCTAAATAAGGGAGTAGGTATAATATTGGAAATGTATTTTATTATTTTAGGAAAAAATGTTTACTTTCATACATTTTGCGCATAGCATTCATAATATTTGCCAACCTATATCATAGCATCCCGGATAGTAGTTGTGACTTCGTACCCTTGGTTGGCCGTAGCGTATATCAAACAACGTAAAAGCCTGTTGAAGTCCCTGTGTTGGTATACCAATAAACGAAGACGTATAGCCATCAAGACAAAATATTTTGACATTGGCTTTTCTTAATGGCGCGTCCAAACGGGCCATGTTTTGCTGCAATTGATGGCAGCACTGTTGGCCACTAATTGCCCGGCCATTACAAAAATATTTTAATGCAGCTGATGGCCGAATGGCGCGTCTAAACGGGCCATGTTTTGCATATGTCTGCAATTGTATGGCCCATGAGTGCAACCACTGTGGCCGGCAACATTGCACCAACAATAGCACAATCACACTTTTAATGCAATATTGCAGTTAATGTCCCGGCCATATGAGCCAAAACATGTTTTGTATAGCCGGACGTATGGCCGATGTGGGGGGGGGGGGGGGGGGGGGGGGGGGGGGGGGGGGGAGGGAAAAAAAGGAAAAAAAAGGGGGGGGAAAAAAAAAAAAAAAAAAAAAAAAAAAATTTTTTTTTTTTTTTTTTATTTTTTTTTTTTTTTTTTTGGTAAAAAAAAAAAAAAAAAAAAAAAAAAAAAAAAGGGGGGGGGGGGGGGGGGGGGGGGGGGGGGGGGGGGGAAAAAAGAAAAAAAAAAAAAAAAAAAAAAAAAAAAAAAAGGGAAAAAAAAGGAAAATTTTTTTTTTTTTTTTTTTTTTTTTTTTTTTTTTTTTTTTTTTTTTTTTTTTTTTTTTTTTTTTTTTTTTTTTTTTTTTTTTTTTTTTTTTTTTTTTTTTAATATTTTTTTTTTTTTTTTTTTTTTTTTTTTTTTTTTTTTTTTTTTTTTTTTTTTTTTTTTTTTTTTTTTTTTTTTTTTTTTTTTTTTTTTTTTTTTTTTTTTTTTTTTTTTTTTTTTTTTTTTTTGTTTGGGTTTTGTTTGGTTGTTGGTTTTTTTTTTTTTGGGGGGTTTTTTTTTTTTTTTTTTTTTTTTTTTTTTTTTTTTTTTTGGGAAAAAAAAAAAAATGGCAAAATGCGATCGGTGAATTTTTATCTCAAAGACCGAACTTTTGTGGCCGGACGTTATCGCTAAGGCTATCAAATTCAACTGTCAATATTGTGACAGCCAGTTCTATTGTTGTTTCAGTTCCACGTGAAATGGATTCTCTTTTTGTTATAGCACATCCGTGTACATCGCACGGTCAAACAATAAAAAGTGGTCGGCAATAAACGAACGACACGAAGATTATTTTATATTTAATCAAATAAAAATACAAAAATTAAAAACATAATAACGATTATATATTTTATATAATTACTGTTACAAATTACAAACACTAAGATAGATTTATGTCACTAGAATGTACTTGCAAGTAGTAGTATATTAATGTGACCGAATTGTATCGTCTTTATGCAGAAAAACCTATTCATAATGTACTTAAAAAGCGAGAACTTGTCAAGGCACGAGGGTTCTTTTAATCCCCAATTCTGAGCAAAGAATTTACTGAGCATGATGCATGCCAAGCAAATACAATGTCAACGCACATCCCTAATATTGACTTCATCGTGAGTATTAACTAAGTAAGATAAGACCTATTAATGACTAATGTAGGCGATATCAATAAAATGGTACTTACGAATAGAACCAAAAGCATTGTTGCTATAGGTACTGTTAGTGATACAAGTGCTGCTTGCCGCCAGGTGAGAACTGTGCCCAGCAAGTATGCAATGAACATTCCGGTGGAGGTGAAACAATTCGTCAGGGTTGTAAGGATCCCTCGAATGGATGGGTCACTGAAATGAGATTAAAAACTGTTTCAGATATGACATGTTATGTGGTACAAAGAAACTTTTAATTATATTTTTTTTAAAGACAATTCACACCAATTGACCTTAGTCCCATGCTATGAAGCTTGTGTTATGGGTACCAGGCAACGGATATACAAACATATTATAGATAGATATACATATAAATACATATTTAAACACCCAAGACCTAAGCACAACACCAAATGCACATCACATCGATGTTCGTCGCAGCCGGGGATCGAACCTGTGAATGGGTCCCCCATGGATTCGCAGTCAGGTATCCTAACCACTAGACCAATGAGTCGTCCTAAATTATATATATCGACAAAACTCTTAAAGAAACAGATTAAATATTTTACCTGCCTTATATTTGTTTAATATTCTAGCTTTGGATTTTAACAAGATTTAATATTATATTTACTTTTAAATTGTTATGTACTTGATAAACTAATTCACGCTGAGTAATTATTAGCTTTATAAAATACATATATAAATCGAATATTGCTACATGTTACAGCTGCAACATACTTAATTGCATATATAATTTACTCCCACTTAGGCATCGCAGACAAGAAAATGGTTAATAATTACTGTTCGTGTATTTGCGTTGTAACATGTTATAAAAGTGGGAAGTGGAAGGTAGGATTTCCCTGAACCGTGTTCTATCTTCTATGTATTAGACAGCGTTGATTGATAGTCTAATAGCTAGAAAGGTTCCTCAATTCCTTAATTTCGTACGATCACAAAGGTACAAATTAAACAAATATACCGTACCCTTTTTGCGCACCGGCCAAAGTATTCCGATTCAAAATAAAATTCTACTATGTGCGTCCGTAAATTATAAAAACTAAAATAAAACTCAATAAAATAAAAAAAAACAGACTAATTGTATACTAAGTGCCACGTTATATCCATCTTCATTTCTTTTATATTTCATATTACTTACTTCGAAACTCAAGTAAACAAAACTAGATTCTATAATGTTTATCACATTTTAAACTAGTTGACATTTTATTAATTTAAAAATTTATAGGGTAATGTTTTTGGTCTCATCTTAAATCACTTCGAAAAATCGTTTGTTAAAATATTAAATTAGTTTAATTTTTATTTAATTAATTTTATCAAACAATTAATCTTTATTATCTGATTTCGTGTATTTGTATAAATGTAGATTTAAAGGCATAATTGCCCAAGTAAGTCAAACCATAAAGGAATGTAAAGTTTTTAGATTCTAATATATCGGATTCGACTGAATATTTTGCATTAAATTGTAATTTATGCTGGTTGATGTTATGTCCAAGTATTGCGCATAGTTTAGGAATGCGACGCGACGTTATCACACTTCTACTTTATGAGAATGTTTCTAATAAATAGCACCAAAAATACTAGCAATAAGGTCTTATATAGGATTTACATGGATTCATTGAAATATCTTCATTACAGTTAATCGATTTGGTTGCATAGAATGCTTTATTAGAATTGGGTGTATGGAGGACTCGGCAGTTAAACTCGATATTTTGCGATTTGCCAAATTCGAGTTATTATTAGAGTTTAAAATGATACCTACGAGGCAAAGTTCCCTGACAACCGAGTTCAATATTCTACGACTTGTCATGGTTAACTAATTACGGGCGGTTGGTATATCGATATTAATTTGTACATTCTCGAACCATTGGAAAATTACTCGAAGGATAATAAAAACAACATTTTGTGTACGAGTCACATATGATATTGGTAGATAGAGCAGTAAGAAAGTGACCATTACCAAACTTCTAACGATGAAATCTGTATCAGATAGAAGGCAGTACACCTTTCCACTTTCATAAAATGCTTTTTAAGTTGTCTTGGTGGGAATATTTTTATGACTAACGAACCATTTGTTAGAAAGCTCACGACCCTCAAATATAGTATAGCCTATTTTTGTGTTTAATCAGTTTGTCTATGTATATTTCGAATACCTGTTGTATTATGTTGTTCTGTAAACACTGATAAATGAAAACTGGTTGGGTTATGGCGGGTAGGATAAGGCTGTATTCCGCGAATTCTGTATCTAATCTAGTCTCGAGTACTGTTAATAAAACCAAGAAATACAATGTTACACACCGGTACATACAGTACAGTAAATGGCAATAATAAAATAGTTATATATAACTGATCACCTGTAAACAAACGAAGGCCAATTAATTTTGTATGGTTTTAGACTTAGGTGTTTATTATTTTATTTTTAAATATATAAATAACACAACCCTTTCAAAGTTTAGTTTTGGTACTGATAATCATGCTTCATTCCAAAGTAAACCATTTTATAGGTATCACGTAACTTGGCAACATTTTGAGAGGTGGAGGAAGTTTGCTTATGTGTCTGTGTAACAAAACAATTTAACCTTAAAACCAAAAACGAATGACTCTTATTAATTAGCCGGAAACGACCTACATACATACTGTGTACTACATTATATTTCATATAATTAAAATTATCTGTTTAAAATAATAAGATTTTATTACCTTACTTCACCAACATAAGTAATTGAAGGAGCTTCCATTATCCCCGTACCAATACCTAATAAGGCATTAGCGATGAAAAGTGAAGGCACATTCCATGCGGTATACATCAGCACCCACGCGACAAGATGCGGTATGTTAACCAGGAATAGAGCCTTCTTTCGTCCGAAGTAATCCAATAATGGCCCGGAGAAGATGCTTCCGAGGGGTTGGCATAGAAAGGCCATGCTACCTGAAAATATAGTAATCACTGTTATATTCACAAATAATGTATTTCTCGAACTCTGAGGAAGATTGTAATATAAACTTAAAATCGAAAAGTTTTGTTTGTTTAGTACTTAGAATTTTATATCGAAAAACGAATAGTTTATATGGGGTAGCATAGCAAAATGTTCCTGAATTCCTGAATATTGATGAATTAAATGAAAAATAACGATTTTGGTTTTAGACAACGTAGTTTTATTTTGAGAGAATCTTTATAGACTGTTACAAACAATGATGTGTCAGGGTTGCCAGCATAAACTAGAGATGTACTTATAATATGAGTTGTTAAACAAGGGTTAAATTTTTCTTATTTCAACAGTTGGCAAGTAGCTATTAAACCAGTAGAGTGAGTAAAAAAATTAAATTAAGTTGAAACGAAGCTAGTTTATTATCAATAAGACATTCTTTGATGAAGGTGCAATCAAACACTACCCACGCTAGTTCTTTGATTCATTGACCTTATAAATTTTTTCGACGTATAATTACTTCGTTATCTTGTGACGGAAGTCTCATGAAAAGTTAATGGAACTTGATTTTATATGAATCTTGTAATGTATCAATTTACGATTAGGCACAATTTTATTCTCTTTTCAACTTTCAAATCACTCATTCACATTAATGATTAAAATTTGGGTCGGAATACAGAAATAATATTTTTAATAATATAATTAAATAATAGAATACAGAATAACTAAAATGTAATTTACAGATATTGGAGTAGAAATACATTAGTTATATTTTTCTACTTAATATGTACTAGCAAACACTTTCAGAAGGTAAAGTCCAAATCTATCAATATGTAAAAGTATGTGACCTGTATGTAAATGTATATTATGTCGGAAGTGTCTTGATTTGTAATTTAAACTTTATTGACAGGTGTGACAATTATGTGATTCCTATGTAATATTTTATCCTATGTCGTATTTTGTTATTAATTTAGCCCTTATTGCTAGCTTTTTAGTACCTATGGAAAGTTTAAGCGGAAACTATCGAAATATATATAAAAATCAAATTAACATTCAAATGAGGAAAGAACTCTTAAATTGAGTCTGAGCTATAAAATAAAAGTAAATTAAGCTACAAATTTTGAGATTTTGAAAAAGGTGGTGTATTCGTAGGATTGAGCCTGGCCAAAAGGCGAAAGAAAAAAAAAAGAACAATGAAAGGTTGAATGTATTTTATAATAAGATTGACTTGTACAAACAAAATAATTAGTTGGGACCTCTGTTTAAAATAACTCTTTACCGGCTTTATAGAATATTCTTATATATACTTCATAATGTACTATGTAGGTATAAGGTAAGAAAAAAATATGCCATCATAAAGATAACTAACTTCTTTTCGAAATATATTTTTTATACAAATGTGGCTACACCTACCGAACCATGATGCCTCTTTCTTGTTGAGCGACAACCCTTCCTTGGCATCCAGGACATCTGGCACCACCATAGTCACAAAGCTGATGGACATCCCGAGGCCCACCAGTAGAAAATCCAGAGCGATACATGCTAGCACCTAAAAAAGAAAAGTTTTTAAACATTCAGACATTAAAATAATAATTCTGAAGCCTAATAGGATACGAACCACGGAGAGCACTAATTAAGGAATCGGATACTATCTTAATATATATAAATTTCGTGTCACGTTGTTTGTCCGCTATGGACTCCTAAACTACCGAACCGATATCAATCAAATTTGGACACCGTGTGTAGTTTGATCTAACTTAAAAGAAAGGATAGCTTACATCTCAATTTATGCCCGCAATATTATTTTGTTGCAAAATATTGGTGCATTATTTGATAGCCACAATTCTAACAGATGGCGCTGTGTTGAAAGTACCAACGTTTCACATAAGCTACAATTTAATGGCATAACCACCAAAAAAGCATGGTGGTCCCCATGAATGGTGTTCTCCTATGTAATATAACAAATACCTTAGCAACCCTTGGCCGTTCTGCTAGTAGTCTATATTCTATAATACATTTTTTTCTCAAGAATAAACAAATGAATTAAATGATTGATACATAAACGTTTTGTAAATAATAATCGAAAAAGTGTAATAAATACATTGTGGTGTTATTAATCTCGCAGGCGCAGGAATTATTTTCAATTATTGAACCTATTAAAATTATATTATAAATACGAAAATATTTATTATAAGTCAGCTTGCTGATATTGTTTGTAATTAGACATGGCGTTAGGGATTAAGTAATTAGTACGTAACAGTATTTAATTTACACAATATATAATAACATATATACGTATATTGTGTGAGTTATCTATATAAACTAGGCAAAATTAACACTAGCCGGTTTCAAGAAACCCGAAGGAGGCGTTTTCAAATCGACGTGTAGGTATGTTTTAAAGCAACATACATGATTATTAGGAAAGGTTGTGCAATAACAACGCTGTATTATTATTTATAGAAACCGTTCCACCCGTATCACCTTGACGTCTATCGTTACACGACTGAGCGTTTTTTTATGGCAGTTTTTGTCGTGCGCCACCACTATGTGAAATCAGCTACTCGCTGAAGTATTTCCGAACTAATTCAACTAAGGATCCTTCAAGAAAAGAGCGTACTAATTATTTATTAATACCAAAATTGCGAGCCTTGTAGAAATGTGACTGTCCATGGGTGGCAGAATTAATAAACATCAGGTGAGCCACTCGACCGTTTGCCTCTTGTTTTATAAATAAAAATAAAAAAAGATCCATCCAGTACTGGTTGAACTTAACTCGGTATGATTATATCTTCAACAAAGAATAGTTTCAACATAATTAAAAAATATTTGTTGTCCATCTAGTTCACAAAGCACCGTACTATAACGTAATAACTAATTCAAAGCATGATAACGTCCATGCTACCTCTGTAGAACAATTAGTGAACTGAAAAGTGGAGTATTGGAGCGAAACTAAAAGAACATTAAATGATTTTAGGCAGCGATGCGAAGCAAACAAACAATTTTAGACGTCAAACAGCAATGACTATGTGAGTGATATTTCTGTATGGCAAATTTAATTTACTGTTTTTTTATGGGACAGGAGGTAGACGAGCAGACACTTATAGACCACAAGCCCATGAACAAAAAATACCTGGCCATTCTTTCGATTGGCATCATAGAAGTAGGGGTATTTTTTTCTACATTTAAGCCGGTTCGATATCCAGACGAGGTAAGTAATTTTTACAAAATCTTTAAATGCAGGGTTACTAACTTTTAAAAATAACATAAAGTCTTCTTTCAGTAAAATACCCTATCTACGATATTAAAGGTACTTTCCCTTCATGTCTCATAACTTTGGGACGCCCTGTATTATATTTTATTTTTGTTAAAAATATTTTTCCTTTACCTCTCTCTGCTGGTACGATAAGGCTGTAAATATACTTTACAGCCTTATGGTAGTATACTCAGATACGTACAGTTATTAATGACCTTAAGGGACACCTCAAACGTCGTCGAAGTTTTTATCAGCTGTAAAGAATAATCTGGAGTAAAATGTACGGCATCTGGGTTTTTTGTTTATTTATATTTGTTACATATAAAATTACAATAATCTTTGAAAATATTACTCCTCATATTACTCTAGGAATATTTGAAAAATCATCTAAATTTCGGAAATTTCATACATTTTTTATCATAATATTTTTATTTGTTAACATTTATAATGAACGGCTATATGGTACAACGGTAATATTTAGTAACATCATGTAAAAAAACAAGTTGCCGTACATTATTCTCTGATCTTTCAGCAGTAATAACTCGGTAAATCCTGAAATTTCGATAAATATTTATTTACACAAATATTAACTATAATTTTTGGACGGCATAGTTATAAAACATTATTGTCCGTGTTAAATAATATTTTGAACATGTTGCCGTACATTTTACAATGACCTTAGGGTATATGGGTGTAGGGGTAGGGTTGCGACCCTTGGCTTTCGACCGCTCCGCTGGAAATATGTACGGCATTTACGGGTAAAGTATCTGTATATGTGTCCAAACAGAATTACACAAATGCCGTACAGTAATAAATGACCTATATTGCTTCTGCAACTATCGTCGAATTAAAAATTTGCACCGACTTCCGGTACCATCACTTTAGTACAGCACTAGGTTTTTCGACGTTTATTTTTAATCATCTATTAGTCGAAATTCCTCATTGGTACCTGAGAAATTCCATTCACTCACGTACTCACATGTACCGCTCAGAAATGACGGCATAGTGCTCAGAGTTATTTTCAGATATAGTAACAGCCTTCTAAGCGTCATTCATGTTGGGTCATTTCACAGGTATTTTTTGTTCATGGGCTTGTGGTCTATTAGTTAAAAGCTATCAGCCCATGGACAACCGCAAAACCAGGAGGTTGCACGTGCATTGCCACCTCTTAAGGCCCCTAAGGTTTAATTTTTCGGAAATAACTGGAATGAAAGTTGGTTCCATAAAGTGGTGATGCGCGATTAGATGTTTTAAAAAGCACTCTGTCGTGAAAATGCAGACGTCAAGGTGGAACGTGGACATAAGTGCACTAATTGCAAAGCACATGTTACAGGTTTTTCGAGATATAAGTACGCTCGTAGCAATTGAAATTTTTAACCTACTGCAAAACCAAAACTAAACGAAAGCTACTACATACCTCATTGGAATAGGATTTGTGTAAAACTGTTGACATTGTATGAAAAATCCTTGTGTTCTAGTGGTAACACATACACACACTATGGTCTGGATATACACGAATACTTGTACGCAATTATAGTAAAGTTAATAAAAAAAACTTCAGCGGGAATTTTCCAATTTCAGTATATTTTTCATACCACGTATGTATTACAAAGCTTGCGATCGGAGAACGGGGTCCATAGATAACGTCATAACTATCTATTTGAATCGATACTCTCTTATAGAAGTAAGTCAATTCATTATTAAGTAAATGGAACCAAATTCCATTATAGAGTGGATTACTATGGGAATCATAGTACCAATAAATGCAACGAGTTCTTCCATATTTAAAAGGTTTTATCCAATTTGATTGGTTTTTTGCATTACATTAACAAATTGATTTGTATAAAACCAAGTTTACTATTAATGTTTTATAGCAATTATAACAAAAATTCAGGCTAATCGACGATTATTAGCGCAATTGCATCCGCAATAACGAATTCATAATTAAACTGATACTTCAAGTGTGTAACTGTTTATAATGCATTGTAACCCGACAACAAATCGGTGAGTTGTACGATTACTTTGTTGCTTTAACAACCAGTATTAAATAAGGCAGTTAAAATACAAAACGGTATTGCAAAAATTTACAACCTTCTTCCAAATTAGATATTTCAACAATATTACAAGCGCAACGTTATAGTTAAATAATTTGAAAATATTCAAAGCTAGTAATAAAATTAATAAATCTGTGGCGCTACAACCTCTTTAGGTCTTGGCCTCAGATTTTTGAATCTGTTTCATGATCATTATCACTTCAGAATATACTAAACAGTGAGATATTATTCACAATGTTTTGTTGCCTTATCCGGAATCAATTAAATTCACTTGAGCTGGCTTTTTTACGACGCGGAAAATGTAGCTTAGTTGTTAAGAGCCGATTGATGCTGTTTTGGTATCGCATATTGCTAATTAGGTCCTTTTAAGCATTATATTTGATTATATTACTTCTTAATGTGTTAAAATATTTAGAACACCCCCGAAAATTGTTTGTCGTCTTGATTTACACGAAACTTTTAAATCAAAAAGATACGAAAGACGCGCGGACATTACTGAAAAACACTAAAAACCTCGTGATATGTATTTTTTTTATATTCGTTTAAGAAGTTTAAAGAGCGCTTTTATTGACTATTAGAAAGATCACGCAAAGTCATATGTTACGCGATTTGCGTAAATATTTTAATCCTACCATCATTTTATAAAGTGATACTGTAACTACCCATTATTTCTATTACAAATATACAACATGGGTGTACTACCTTAAGTTATGATGTTTTCTAAGAGAGATACCTAATTTTAGAATTTATTAGAATTTGCAGATGCAGAAATGATGCAGATCTCGGCACGAGTTTAAGTTTTAGTAGTTACTTTGGATGGTACAAGTTCTGTTAATTTAGCGATTACATTAAATGATGTTAGTTCCCAAATAATTGTTTTACCTTTCTGTTTTTTCTTTTTTTTTGTGTAATATTGTGAATTTCTATCGTGAGTAGTCCTACGCCAGCAAGCCCCGGCCAACTAATACTGATTTTATTGATAGTTAATAATAATTGGCTTATAACAAAGAGTCCAAATGACAAATGACGTCATCTAAGAACGAAGCCCAATTTCGATGTAATTGTTTCAATATCCGTTAATTCAAGAGCGCTGATGTGGCGATGTGAAAAAATTATTAAACATAATTCAGAAAATATTGCTTATGTGACGTGAATCTTTAATTATACATTTTATTGTGAAATTGTTAATTGTGTTAATATAGAAGTATGTTTTTAATAGTAATTTAATGTATAAGTTAGTAAAATTGCATAAAGTAAATAAGAACTGTTGTTTAGTACCGACTAGCTAAATACTAATTAAATTTTTTATTTTAACAATTTTTTTTGTCTGGATACAGACAAAAGGGGAGTCCTATGTCAGAAGATAACCTAACCATAAAAGTGGTAACTAAAAATAAGAAAAAGGTTAATAATTGTTTTCCTTGTTAACCAATTATTTTGTTTGTAACTAATGGTCTATTAATAAACGCTTTATTTATTTTCTTATGATTTCATGATAGCAGATACAGAAAGCATGGCCCCTTATCAAAGTCAATCGAGGTTTATTGGCAATCGACGCTCATTTATTGGAAAAGGTTAAGGCCAATATTTGGACTCACAAACCGAGATATTTATTCCAAGGGCTTTCTATGCTTGTTTCTATTTGTTATTATAAATTACACCTAAAATAATATATAAAAAATTACACATTTAAAAGTATATATGTAACAGTTAGTAGTTAAGACAGATAGATGAATACTATTCTCAGAAAGAAAAATTAAAATAATATTTTAATTAAGAATTAGCCGAAATAGTGTACGTAATGATGACGCCGTGTGTATTATTAGTGATGATATGATTTAATACTATCTATAATTGTAATAATATTTTAAAAAGTATCCTGCAACTAACTGAACAAGCCACGAGGAAAGGGAATGAAAATACTAACAGTTTAACATCTATCAGGATCATGCTACACATATATATATGTAACTTCAGATAGAATCAGCAAACGAATTACTGCTAAAACAAAACTCTTTTTTACGGAGTTCCTGTTGAGTTTTTGCATATCGATTCATGATACCAATAGCATCCGATAATTAATCCTTAGAGTAGACAATAGCGATAAGTAGGGAGCGTTCCAATACAAAAAAAACAAAATATATTCTTTCCTTTGTATTAAATAAATTAATTGAAGTTTCCCGTGCTATTATTATTACTTCAACTATCTGTCTTGTATACTTAAAAATAATATTACTTGAGAATTTTTAGCCCTTACTTAAAAAACTTGATGTTAACGGATATTTTATTTTATATTCAAAAGTATGTTCGTATCTAATCTATAACATATTTTATTTATAAATTAGCCGTGCTTTATAATAAAATACGCAAAACAACAACAGGCTACAGAATAAGATATCATTCTTGAACAAACTATGCATTGATAATGCTCAAGTATAAAAAATAATTATAACTCTTTTACATTAGTGTTTTTTTTATTTTATTAATATTACTCTACTCCCCTGCCATTGTGTCCAGGGACTTTTTCTATCTCTAAAATTTCCAATAAAACATGATACATTATTTACATTAGTGTTTTTTTTATAAATATTACTCTACTCCCCTGCCATTGTGTCCAGGGACTTTTTCTATCTCTAAAATTTCCAATAAAGCTTGATACATTATTTACATTAGTGTTTTTTTTTATAAAAATACTCTACTCCCCTGCCATTGTGTCCAGGGACTTTTTCTATCTCTAAAATTTCCAATAAAACATGATACATTATTTACATTAGTGTTTTTTTTTATAAATATTACTCTACTCCCCTGCCATTGTGTCCAGGGACTTTTTCTATCTCTAAAATTTCCAATAAAACTTGATACATTATTTACATTAGTGTTTTTTTTATAAATATTACTCTACTCCCCTGCCATTGTGTCCAGGGACTTTTTCTATCTCTAAAGTTTCCAATAAAACATGATACATTATTTACATTAGTGTTTTTTTATAAATATTACTCTACTCCCCTGCCATTGTGTCCAGGGCCTTTTTTTATCTCTAAAATTTCCAATAAAACATGATACATTATTTACATTAGTGTTTTTTTATAAATATTACTCTACTCCCCTGCCATTGTGTCCAGGGACTTTTTCTATCTCTAAAATTTCCAATAAAACTTGATACATTATTTACATTAGTGTTAGTTGCCTCTATTTAATTTAATTAAAAATGAGGCAAATTTTTGGTAGTAGATATAAATTAGGTCAATCCCTTTAACAAAGTATCTATGGCCAAATCATTTCACATCTCAAATAAATGTGAATGTTTTTTTGAAATTTTATTTATTAGCAACCCTTGGCTTTTTTGAATCTGTGAATGAGGTTGTAATTCAATGTTTGGACACAGCAACTGTAAAAATAAGTTAAATACGAGAGATATCGATTTAATTAATTGGCAAACGATATCATAGATTAGTTCTTAATTGATTCTATAAAGGAGGATAAAATGGTAATTTCAAATAAAGTTAAAAATATTCACGGTTATTACTATCTACGGAAATTGAAGGTACATCCTCTTCTGTTATGGCTAAAAACATACCTGTGTAGGTACTAATAAATTTTAAAAGTATTATGTTAATTTTCTGATCATGAAAATAAGTATTTAGTGAATTTTAGAATAAATAGCTGTGATTTTTAAATTGTAGCTAATTATTGTAAACTTTCATTTCTTTACAAGTAGCATACTCTTTGGCATCGGCGTCAAATTCTAAAGCCAAAATCTATGTTTTATCGCAAATTGATATCATGTCCTAAAAGATGAAAAGCATAGGCACTGCAAGGCTTAAATAGGTGCACCATATCATTTATCATTTAAACCTTTGCCAAGATAATATCTTGCCGTAGTTGCTTCTGTTTCTCTTACGTTTCCTAATATACATTACATTATAATCTCTCGCGAACTCTGGCGGTTGATAAAATCTATTATTCTGTATCTTAAGCCACTTAAAATAATGAAGAATGTCTTACCTGTGATAACACAATCCTTGTTCTGCTCACTTTCTTCTTTTCTTCTCTTTGAGTTGTCATTTTAAGAAGTTTATTACGTCCGTAAATTTAATCACACAATACTAATATATCATTTTATTTAATGGATTTTCTTTTGTTTATTTTTTTTTATTGTTTGTGTTTAATAAATCTGTTTAGTTATAAATAAACGAATTAGTTGTTTTCTACATCATAGTCGGTGATAAAGTGATCTTGTTGACGCGTTATTTACACTTGACAGTTAGCATTTCGATCACTAATGTGTTTTGTAAAGAATATTAATTAATGTAGATATAACTGGAATCGAATAATAAAAAAACTTAGATGATTTGATTTTTTTATTCAGCCAACGAGTAGATTTCGCAACGAAATTAGTATTAAAAATTTCGTTTTGCAATTTTTATTTATAAATGATTTTTATCAGAATAACACGCGTGAGAATGGCGTAAATAAAATCCTTTTGATATTTTACTTATTATAATTAATTTGTTCATTTATATCTTAATGGCTTAAAGTCAGTAACACAATGATTGTTTAATTTATAAAACAATGCAAATTATCGCATTCCAAAAGAAGCGCAATTAAGATTAAGTTCTTTGTTAATATAAAAGTTAATTGATTTCATCCTACATGTCTTTATATTAAGAATAAAAATAGCCGATGGCGCTTCAATTTCCTAGGGTTCCGTATCTGTTTCGTAATATTTTTTTTCTATTTGGCAAGTAGGTGATCAGCCATCTGTGCCTGACAATCGTTGTCGACATTTTGACTCTAAGATATGCGGTTCCACACGATGTTTTCACCATTTGTGCACGCCGGGGTTCGCACGACCTCTGGGATGTCAGACTATGAAGCCACTAGACCAACACTGCTCGTTATATTAATATTATCAATAAGAAGAAGCAAACAAATATCTAAATACAAGAACTCTAAAACTCTCAAAACCAGATGAAAAAAATTGATTTTATTTACAATGCGTTTTATGTATAATAGATATCTTACTTTATCAGTAATTGAATGTTTCACTATCGTTTGCAAATACATAGTAGGTATTTTCAATGTGTTAGAATATATAAAAAATATAATTTCTTATATACTAGCAATTATACATTGCGACAATATTAATTTCATTAATTTAAAATTAAGAAAATTTAAAGGATAAGAGTGCACAAAGACTACTAATGTGTGTGAGATATTCGGTTAAATATTTCCTAATTAGATTTAAATGTGGAATTCATTCAGTTAGAAAAAAAATGGATAATGGAACTATAAAAAGTGTTATGAATTAAAAGTTATTTTTTGTCTTAATTTAATTACAATAACATAAAAATAAACGTGTTTGTATAGTCCACGAAACATTTTAATATGTAGATGTTAGTAATGGTTAACTAATTAAGTTAGAAAATAATTATTATTTTTATAAATAAACAAAGATGGTAGTAGTGCAAACATGCAAAACAATGTCCAACTGAAGCAATTAAAAAATGTAAGATGTTTTTGTAATAAAAAGTTTTAAAACATTAATTTATTATTTTAAATGAATTTATTTTTCTAATGATGCTGCAACCCAGTAAACTCAAGATTTTGTAGGTATGTTAGAATATTTCTATTGTTGGTCTCTACATATATTATGTATAATACAGTATATCTAATATATAAAATTCTCGTGTCGCGGTGTTTGTAGTTAACCTCCTCCGAAACGGTTTGACGGATTCTCATAAAATTTTGTGTGCATATTGGGTATGTTTGAGAATCGGACAACATCTATTTTTCATCCCCCTAAATGTTAAGGGTAGTCCACCACTAAATTTTTTTTTAAAATTTTTATAAAATTTTTTTGTAATATAATGTGTTTGTATTTATTTTTTTATGATACAGCATACAAAAATACATACAACCCCTAATTTTCACCCATCTACGATCAACCCTTATTTTTTATTATAAATGATATACATGGCAAAACGACGTTTGCCGGATCAGCTAGTAAGTTTATAATAATAAGTATTTTTTACTTATCGCCTTTTACTTAAGTCTTATGAAATATGAAACCTTCAATTATTAATTAACCTTCGAAAAAGGTCATTAAATGTGCCCTTTATGAATAAATCTGTAATGGTTACAAAATTAAAACAGCATAATTTAATTCATATAAAAGCCGGTAAATTTATTTAGTACTTGGCAACATATGCTTTAGTGTTTTAACACAATTTCAATGGAATAAGGTTTACAGTTAAATAAATTAATCGTTACCGAAAGTTGAGTAAGTGACAAATGACAGTTCAGTCAGCCGTAAATAAGACCGATTTTAATTTCGTAGCGGTTGTATAAGTCTAATTATTTTTATAAAATAATATCATGAGGTTGGACGGTGTAAGGTACCGTAAGTAAGATAAATAGAATCTAGGCCACTAGTTTTTTTTTTTTAAGACAATTCACACCAAATGACCTAGTCCCACGCTAAGCTGGTGAAGCTTGTGTTATGGGTACTAGGCAACGGATATACATACATATTATAGATAGATAGACATATAAATACATATTTAAACACCCAAGACCTAAGCAATAATAATAATCAGAGTCGTATTAAGTTTTAAATGTATATCACAGTAAATCCTCTTTTGACAGTCGTACTTTTTTGTTGTTTGGTTGTTATATGAGCTATGTTTATAAAGAGTATTTTTAACTAAATTGAAAAACGTCACATTTAACTTTCTTACGTCATAGCAAAACAAAAATAAATTTATTAATTCTTTGAATTTGAAGTAAATATTAAATAATTATTTAATAGTCATTAATAGCGACTAAACGGTAATACCTGTTCTCATGCAATCTTTGTTATGATTTTAATTGTATGCTTCAAGGTTATTAAATAAATTATTATAGATAAAGTATGGTACTAAAAAAGCTTTTAGAATGAAGCTTTAAAAATATATAAATGAAGTCGGTTGATAAACTGGCGGGTGTTTCATAATGTTGGTCGAACAAAGATTTCGGTTTCGTTAGTAGGTATAGATGCTTTTTTACTGCCCCTTCGCATCTCCCACTCCTAGTGAAATGTCACTTAAAGCATTAAGCTTAAGAGTTTGTACAACTACAAATGAAATGAAAAGGTAAATACATCTGAAGTCATAGGAATAAAAAAATATAGTGGCATAGATTTTATAAGAAACTAGCTGCCCTCGCGAACTTGGTTTCGCCTTCATATGATTTTTTTACATAGCCTACCTTTTTAGTAGCTATATACCAACATGTAGAACATTTTGTTATGCAACCCCATAAATAATGTTTGTTTTTCCGGAATAAAAACCTAAGGACGAAAAAAAACTAAATTTTTCATAATATTATTAATATTTTCCAAGACTTCTCTCTATAAAAACATACCTCAGAGTTCAAGTAATAAATAAAAATTACTCGAGTACGAGTACAAGTTTTGCGCTTAGCAACATTTTTTTTGTATAGACTATTATCATCCGAAGGATTAATAAACAACAGCAGCACATATGAAGAAAATACTTGTTCGTTCGTAATAACGAGTTCATTATGTATACTTCGTTATGAGTTGAAATACTGATAAAAAGTAGTGCATTACTTTACTCATTTGGCTCACTCAACGGTACAACCGTTGAGTGTGTCGCGATTAAACTTATATAAATCAATTAGCCCCTACTAGCAGTCGCACGTACAGTAGTACTTTGAAGAAGACTTAGAGGGTATGTTTGTAATTTTTTTGCAAATAAACTGCTTTTTGTGCCAACTAAACCGAAATAACTCTTGTTAGCCGTGAATAAAGCTATCTATAAACACCAACTCGAAGGCAAATTTAGGTGTAATTTCATTATCATTTCGATATAGGTAAAATCAACAAACTGTGACAAACAGTGTAGAAAACAGAATATTCGTTTAAACACAAGTTAGCCAATGTTTCAATATTAGTTTTTATGTAAAAAAGCTCTTTGTGAAATATAGTATGGCTTGTAAAAGATGTGTTCTAAAATAATATGAAAATTGCGCTCCAATTAGGAATTAGATCACGCAGACGTGACATGGCTTATGTACGAGGCCTCTTATTCATAAAAACATTAATATTTAACCTTTACAATTAAACATGATAAGCTTATAATTTTTAATTATACAAATAAACTGATCATTATCTTTTATGGAATAATTGTGTGATGTTTGCTGACAGACAGGTGCAAGTATATAATATATACTATATTATATTATTTCTATCCTCAGATCAAACAAATCATTATGCTAAGTGATAAGGCCGGCAAAGTATTCGCGATACTTTTGGCATAGAGTGTCACTAGCCGGCGGTATCACCTAACATTAGGTGAAACTCTTGGCCCTTACTATAAAAAAAGTACATTAAACTTTAATATCAAGTAACGGCAACCCTTATATATGTATAATATATACTAAATAAGTAGTTGCTACTTAATATGGAATATAATTACAAAATGTAATATGACTCTTAGATACTCAGCACCTTTGCAATTTTGATTATGATTGATTGAATTTCACTTCCACTTCTATGTAATCAAATATTTTGTTTACTTTATACCTTCATGTAATTCAATCCTTATTGAATAACGACAAAATACCAACTATATCTGTATCTTGCGGTTTTGAGGTTTTTTCATGTACAATTGTTAATGCGTGGAGCTATTAATTGCAATTATATAATAGATAAAACTGTATTCTATTTTTTTTTTAATATTATTTACTGAACACGGCCAGTTTAGTATCTCATAAATACTCTAAGCTAAGATTCCTTCTTAAAGTATCTTCTTAGTAGGTACACTATACACAAGTTAGACAATATTTCAATATTTATCATTTTTTATAACCTATAATGAACATAGAAAACTTTATATCATTAAGACATTCCTTTCACGTTCACAAGCATTAATTATATTGAAGTATCAGTGGAATGCGGAAGATATAGAGTATCACCTATCTTTATATGTTATTAACGATTAAGTCTAGAACCTTGATTACACTACCGTGAATCGCATGTGGCATCATAGGGTTTAATCCTA